GGGCTCTCGGACACTGGAGGCCGCCAACCTGACAGCAGTGAGGCTTTGGGGTCAGACAGCCCCGAGTCTTCAGTCCTGTCCCCATACCTTCCGAAGGCGCCAAGATGCCGTTCGCAGGTAGTATGACCCACCTCCATTTTTGATGTCAGGTCCTGACGGCTTCAGGCCCCATAGCCCCGGCTTCTGCTTCGCGTGGGCAGACGGACCTATGAGAGAGCCAATACTTTCCCTCTCTTGGCACCGGCAGGAAGTTCCAAGCGCTTAAACCCGTCCCACATCCAGGAACCCTCATCGGCCCCAAGTCCTAGCCCAAAGGAAGGCCAAAGCCACCCACTTCAGTCATCTCAGGTGGACTTCCCTCTGGACTGCTCATGAGCCCTGCCCTGTACCGTTGCTCTCTGTGTGCACGATCAACTCTATTTTGTACGGGTGTCATCTGTCCCACATCAATATAAATTCCCCGGGAAGGGGCTGTCCAGCCTCCAACAGGAGACACTAGATACTCAAATAAAAAGTTCCACCACCAGGGGCGCGGGAGTGGTTCAGTCAGGTAAGCCTCCGACTTCAGCTCTGGTCATGATCTCAAAGGTCGTGGGTTCGAGTCCTGCATCGGGCTCTGTGCTGACAGCTCAGAGCCTGGAACCTGGTTTGGATTCTATATCTCCCTCTCTGCTCCTCCCTCCTCTTGCACTCTCTCTCCCTCTCAAACAAAAATAAAAAACATTAAACCGTAAAAAAAAAAAGTTTCACAACCAGCTGCCTTCTTGTCCCCCATCCCAGCCCTGGCCACTCTTGTCCAGGGATGAGTCAACCATCTGTAATGGTCCTAGAGTTCTACGGGGAAACAGACTAGGGCTGCCGTGGCCAACGCCACGTACCCAGTTGTCGGGACTCTGTCTCTTTCCCCCTCAGGATGCTCAGGGTCTCACAGGAAGTCAGAGTATCTCCCACCCCCACCCTGGGTCCCAGGATACAGGAAAGACCCCAGCAAAGGGACCCACCGCAGGTCACAGACGCAGTCTGCACTGACCTCCCGGCCCACCTCCATCAGTCCTTGGCCAGCTCCTCCAGAAAGGACAGGAAGGTCCTGCCCTCAGCCCTTCCTGAAGGAAGGCCCCGGGTGCCGTGTTCCCACACCTCTTGGGTACCGCTGGCAAATCTGTACCTTCTGGAATGTGCAACAGAAAAGGACATTTCCGTTCCTCCTGTCACCGGCTTCCGACTTCGCTCCAGGACAAAATACCTGCGTCTCCCTCCTGGCATCCTGAGGGCATTATTTCCATCGTTGTTCAGAAGGCCCTCCCAGGTGAAAAGCAGGAAATACCTCCTCCCATCCACTTGTACAGGAATATCTGTAGCAGAGTTATTCATAATAGCCTCAAGCTGGGAACAACCCGAATGTCTATCAGCTGGTGAATGGGTGTGGTGTGGGTCTCAGCCTTTATCTGCTGGCAACGCCTCAAGGGCTCACCCGGGCACCCGTGCCATTGTGGTGAGTCCCCACTGGCATTTCCCCAACCGCAGCCAGTGTGGTGGCTGGGTCTGCCTTTGTGGGTTTTTTTTTTTTTTTTCATGTGTATTTACTTTTGAGAGAGAGAGAGGAGAAAGAGTGTGAGCGAGGGAGGGGCAGACAGAGAGGGAGACAGAGAATCTGAAGCAGGCTCTGAGCCGTCAGCACCAGGCCCAACGTGGGGCTTGAACCCACAAACCGTGAGATCATGACTTGAGCTGAGGTCGGACACTCAACGAACTGCTGAGCCACCCCGGTGCCCCCACCCTTGTATTTCTTATTATGATCCCAGAACACGCGTCGGCAACAACCACCAGGGAACTGTGAATAAGACTGATCACGCACAAGTCATAGAGGGTACGCGGCATGCCCAGGGACACACGGCGAGGTCCCAGGTAGCGAGAGAGGGAAGATGCACGCACCTGGGGCTCTGCTTCTACTAGGGGCCGAGGATGTGGTGTCTAGGGTTTCACAGGTTCACTCTTTCTGGGTGAATTTAAAGCATAAGAGCAGGGGGCACTTGGGTGGCTCAGTCGGTTAAGCATCTGACTCTTGATTTCGGCTCCGGTCATGATCTCACAGTTCGTGAGTTTGAGCCCCGCGTCAGGCTCCACACCGACAATCCAGAACCTGCTTCGGATTCTGTCTCTCCCTCTCTCTCTGCCCCACCCCGGCTCGTGCGCACGCTCTCTCTCTCCCTCTCTCAAAATAAATAAAGCATAACATCAGGACTTGCACTCAACCCGTCAATTATATAGGTTACCCCAGACTTTCTAAAGAGGAATTTCATGGGGAGGGGGGGTGGCCTGGTTCCTTAGCCGGTTATTTTTTTCCCCTCTGCAATTCCATATTGCTAATTTCATTCTCCCACATAAAACCCATGGTTCCTCCCCGAACATCCACAGATGTTGTCATCCGCTCAGTTCTACCCACAAAACGATTATACCATAAAAAGATTTTGGTTTGGATAAGAGTCTGAATCACTGAATTTCTCATATGTCATCACGACGCAATTATTACCACTGTGTTTTAAGCTTATTACCCTGTATTTTCCTTTTTTTAGGTTTCTTTACTTCTTTTGAAAGAGACAGAGAAAGAGAGAGAGAGAGAGAAGGAAAGAGTGTGAGCAGGGAAGGAGCAGAGAGAGAGGGAGACAGGGAAGCCCAAGCAGGTTCCGTGCTGTCAGTGCAGAGCCTGACCCGGGGCTCAAACTCACGAACCGAGATCACGGCCTGAACCAAAACCCAGAGTTAGACACTTAACCGACGGAGCCACCGAGGCGCCCCAGGAACACAATACACTTTAAAATATTTACTGAGATATTCATGGCCTTGTAACTGGGAAATGTTATGTGGCACATTACACTGAAAAAAGTGAGATGTTTTCATTTCTCTCTCTCCATATACAGGTGTGGATTTTTTTAAAAAAAAGCACTTAGTACGTTTGCAAGCACGTTCTGCACCAGTGGCCACCATTTCATCGTGCAGCCGGGTGAGGGGAGTATGGAGCTCATGAGCTGAACAAATCGTGGGGATCTGGATGGAGCAAGAAGGGTCGGCACCTGCAAAAGCGTCTCCCCCGCATCATCCCCTCCCCGGTCACCCCCACCCCTCGAGAATGAGAATCTTCTCTCCAACCCAATGAGTTCATCATCTCACAAGCTCTGCAAGGTTGACCCGGCTATGATCTCATTCACGGCCCTGTGGGCCCAGAAATGCATCAACCGGGGCCATTTCAAGTCCTGTTCCAAGCCTGGAGACACCAGGACATTTCATCGTCCCGGGACATGCGTCCCTAAGTTTGGGTGGTGGCTTTGGAGGGAGTGTCCCTCTCCACCTCAGACATGATGGGGACAGCCCCCTCCCCCCAACCTGAGCCCAGGTTCAGAGTCCCTCCTCCACCCCCCGGCCCACAGGAAAAGAGGAAGAGAACTGAGTGCCAATCCTTAGTCCCAGTGCTTGCCCTTGCCCATAATCCCTCCGCATCTGACCCAGAAGGGATGGTGTCAAAACCCTGATGTGAAACTGGAAACTGGTCGTGAGGCTACATACGGGTGGATCTGAACCCAGAGGACATAGCATAAAAAAGAGAGGAAATTGGGAAGGTCACAGAAGTGGCAGGATAAAGGAGAGCCTAGAGAGACCCCAGGGGCTAAATGAAGACTTGATTCTGATTCTGCCGTATTCCAAGTGTCCCCAGAGCCTGCCTCACCCCCGGCTGTGTCCACCCAGCACTTGATCTGCTAGTCTGAGAACTGGCCCCGTGTTTCCTGGGGCGGGGGGGCCCCGTATGGCTACACTCCGAGTGCCCCACCTCCCACTTCTGATCTTCTCCAGCTCAGTTCCGAGCAGAGCTGCACCCAACCCCCTCCCGGAGAGAAGTTCTGGTGAGGGATGGTTTGAAATGGCGTCCAGATCCCCCTTTTCAGTCTGGAATGAACCTCCTTCCCCTCTCCTTCCCTTCCTGATCCCAGGGTTTGTGGGATAATGCACTTTTCAAATTGTGAAAGGCATTAGGGACCCTTGGGTGGCTCAGTCTGCTAAGCATCCGACTCATGATTTCAGTGCAGGTCATGATCCCAGGATCATGGGATCGAGCCCCGCGTGAGGCTCTGTGCTGACAGCACAGAACCTGCTGGGGATTCTCTCTCTCCCCCTCTCTCTCTCTGGCCTTCCCCCAGATGCACACACTCTCTCTCAAAATAAATAAACTCAAAAAAGAATAAATTCTGAGACCTTAAAATTATTTTCTACGTATTAATTTCATTTTTCAACACTTATATCAAAATTGGGACAGAAAAGAGAGGTGCTCTGGGTCATTGAGGTGGTGTCTCCCCAAACAGGGTGCAAATAGGCGCCTCCCTCCCGGGCTTTCTCAAAGGTTCCAGACCTTTGGCTCACTGACTGAGCCACCCAGGTGCACCTGAGATGACATTTAGTTCAAACATCCCAGCCTCCCATCCATCAACGTTGATTCAGGAGGGCCCTGAAGAGTCCTCTGAGGGGGAAGGTCAGAGTCTTATGGATTGTCCACTTTGACCGTGTCCTCTATGTTGTGTTACTAAGTCCAGATCTGTCAGTTTCCAGAATCTCATAATGCCGACATGTTTGGTTTATTCCAAAGAAATCATTTCGGAGGCAAATCAATTCTTCCCGTGTGAGCGTCCAAACTCCCACACCACTGCTTACTGGCCGTGGGGCCAAGGGGTGAGTCCAGCCCTGGGTTTGGGATTCCAGGAGAGGCGAATTTTTGCTCCCTGGGGGTGGCCGTTCCCGCCCGGTCCACGCTCGCGCAGCCCTGCCCCATCCCCGATGCCCTCCAGGGGGCGCAGCGGTCCGGTCCTCCCTCCTCCGGGCAAGAGGAGTCAGGAGGTACTCAGCACTGACCACTCCTCCTTCTCTATGGATGGTGGCCCAACCCCCTGTCCCACACCCTGGCGAGGTCGATGCAAGAACCCCAGGCTTTGTGATAAAGATGGGATTTTACTCACTGAAACCAGGCGACCATGGTGAGTATCTTGAAATGCGTTCATACGTTGAAAAAGCAGGCATACCTCGCCACCTGTGAGAGCAGAGAAACGCCCCAGGTCCACCATTTATGGCCTTCCCAAACTGTCAAGCTCCCCTGATGACAATCTAGGTAAAATTGTAGGATGTGTGGAGTCTCTTGCGTTTTGCATCTGGCCAGAAAAGGGCCTAAGGTCTTGAAAAATATGTCAGGGCAGTGTCCCCAGGGCCAGCCTGGGGATTGTACCTAATGATACTGTGTAGGGGTAAGGGTGAGGGGTCAGGGCCCCGGGGACTTCCCAGAGCACAATAATCTCTCAGGGTTGTCCAGAATCATAGAAAGGGGACCAGTCACCCTACGCAGGAGAGAGTCAGGCTGAGCGTCTCCTGTCCCCAAACACAACTCCATGTTCCATACCCAGCTCAACAACAGACCCCTCTCTCCAGGGTCATTCAGGAAGCAGAATCCAGCAGTCAGCGGACACTGAAGAGGGACAGAGAAGGTGAGCAGGAGAGAGACAGACAGAGATGGAGGGACAGACAGAATGTGGGCAGAGGAGTGGAAGAGACCTGAGAAGGAAGCTCTCCTCTCCCACCCACATCGCCCCCTTTCGGGCCTGCTTCCTCTGCCAGCGGCATTCTCCACTGTGGGTCTCACCACCTCGGTAGCGGGCCGTACAACCCCTTGAGTTAGTCTTGAATGATATGTTTTATAATCAAAATCGATTCGAAAGTGGTTATTAGGTGCCTCACAGAGTCGTATCAAATGCTGTTTACTGAAACTCCTCAGGGCCGTTGTAAACCTTGGCGGCCAAAGGGTTCGATACTCAGTAATGGAGCGGGCTCCAGGCGAGAGCCCCGCTTTCAGACTGGGCTGCCCGTCTTGTTTCCCAGTTGAGGGCCCACCTCTCGAGGCCTGGATTCAATGCACTTCCTGGGGAGACGCAGGGCAGGCCTGGACGCCTCACCAACATCCAAAGTACAGTAGAGGCATGGAGACCAGCCAGGGTGATGGCGACAGCACAGACCACGGGGCATGGCTTGGAGAGGTCTCTGAGGAGGGACAGCCGAGCAAGGCCCCAGCCGCGTGCTCCAGGGCCCAGAGCCTCATCTCTCAAAGGAGCTGAGTCACAAAAGGGCAGGAAGGTGGAGGGAGATCCAGACAGGACTGATTTGCTTATTTTTGATTTTTCATATTGTTAGAATAATACTGGGTGGCTCAGTCGGTTAAACATCCGACTCTTGATTTCAGCTCAGGTCATGATCTCACAGTTCGCGAGATCAAGCCGTTACATTGGGCCCTGCGCTGACCGCGGGAGCCTGCTTGGGATTCTCTCTCTCCCTCTCTCTCTGCCCCTCCCCCAGGCTCTCTCTCAAAATAAATAAATGAACTTTAAAAAAATACGAATACAATACGTGGTCCTCTGCTTTGTTTGGCTTCTTTCACCTGTTTTCAAGAGGCATCCGGGTTGTTGTGTGTATCGGTATCTTGTGTATGTTGTGAGGAACAAGATTTCGTTATACGGATACATCGCATTCAGTTTATCCACCCGTCAACTGATGGACATTCGTGATATTTGCACCTTCTGACTCTTGGGAATCCTCCCACTGTGAACGAGTGATTGTCTGAACAACTACTTCAGTTCTTTTGGGTATCTACCCAGGAGCATAATTGCTGGTTCACGCGGTAATTCTCTGCTTAATAACTTATTGGAGGACAGACAGTTTGGGGTGCAATTTCTCCAAACCCACTAATACCTTTCCCCCCACTTAAAAAAATCATCACCATTCTCGTGGGTGCGTAGTGACAGATAATTCCTAGTAGTTTTGATTTGCATTTCCTGAATAAAAATGACTGCGCATCTTTTCATGTGCGTGTTGGGGACATTTGGATATCTTCTTTGGAGAAATATTTATCCAAGTCCTTTGCCAATTTTTAAATTGTCTTGTCTGTCTTTTTGCAAGAGTTCTATATATATTCTGGATATGATATTCTCGATCACTGTCAGATTATGATTTGCAAATACTTTCTCCCATTCTGTGGGCTGTATTTTCGCGCTTCTTGATAGAGAGAGGTCCAGTTTCATTATTCTGCCTGTAGATATCCATTTGACTCAGCACCACATGTTGAAAACTATTCTTTCCACATTGAATGGCCTTGGTGCTCTCATCAAAAATCAACTGGGGGCGCCTGGGTGGCTCAGTCAGTTGAGCATCCAACTCTTGATTTTGGCGCAGGTCATAATCTCCCAGTTGTGGGATCAAGCCCCCAAGTCAGGCTCTGCGCTGAGCATGGAGGCTGCTTGGGATTCTCTCTCCTTCTGTTCCCCTCCCATGCTTGCTTGCTCTCTCAACATAAACAAACAAACATTAAAAAAATCAATTGGCCATAGGGGTACCTAGTTGGCACAGTCAGAGCATGCAACTCTTGATCTTGGGGTTGTGAGTTAGAGCCCCATGTTGGGTGTGATGATTACTTAAAAATAAAATCTTAAATCAACTGGCCATAGATGTATGGATTTATTTCTAGAACCTCAATTACATTCCGTCGATCTGTGTGTCTTCCCTTATGTCAGTACCATACTGTTTTGATTACTGTATCTTTATTTTTGTTTTAATTTTTTTAAATGTTTATTTATTTTTGAGACAGAGAGAGACAGAGCATGAGCAGGGGAAGGGCAGAGAGAGAGGGCAACACAGAATCTGAAGCAGGCTCCAGGCTCTGAGCTGTCAGCACAGAGCCCGACGCGGGTCTCGAACTCACGGACCGCGAGATCATGACCCGAGCCGAAGTCGGCCGCTTAACCGACTGAGCCACCCAGGCGCCCCGATTACTGTATCTTTATAGTAAGTTTAAAATCAGGATGTGTGGGGTTGTCTGGGTGGCTCAGTCAGTTAAGCATCTGACTCAGTCGGTTAAGTGTCCGACTTTGGCTCAGGTCATGATCTCTCAGTCCGTAAGTTCGAGCCCCACGGAGCCCCACGGAGCCTGGAGCCTGCTTCAGATTTTGTCTCCCGCTCTCTGCCCCTCCCCCACTGACGCTATGTCTCTGTCTCTCTCTCAAAAATAAACATTAAAAACAACTTTTTTTTAAATAAGTAAAATCAGGATGTTTGAATCTTCCAACTTCGTTCTCCTTTTTCAAGATTCTTTTAGCTATTCAGGGCCCCTTGAAATTCCATATGAATTTGAGAATGAGCTTTTACATTTCTGGAAAAAGAAGGAGGAGGAGGAGATGGAGAGGGAGAGAAAGAGGAAGAGGAAGAAGGAGAAGGAGAAGGAGAAGGAGAAGGAGAAGGAGAAGGAGAAG